AAAGTGGTTTATTAAATTGCTAAATTACAAAGGTACTGATTAAAATGCAAAAACATGAAAGGTGGTGTACTAATATGCAATTTTTCCTATTCTATTCATACCTATTAGGACTTCTAAAATTATAAAATATTTTTCTAGCTTAAAACATAAATATATTTAAAAGTTAATAACTTTATATTTAGTCATCATATTTTTGCATATAATATATCCAATAATTAGTTTTATTTTTATTTATATTAAAATTAAATCATTGATGGGACGGAGACCTGGATCTAGGTTGAACCAACTGAGAAAGACATTCGATCATCTAATAACAACTGATTACCTGCAAAACAAAGAGCCGAAGTGGTCCTCGGAGTGAGCACTCCGACGCTTAAGTCAGTAAGCGGAATAGGAAGATGAAATGTATGGATGGCATGTAGATGTATGTATATCAGATAGATAGTGTAGAGTGTTTCAGTTGTACATCAGTCCCCTATTATAACGAGAATGCCTTGGTGCCCGAAATTTAGCTACTCGGGTTGCCCCAGCCAGTCTTCCCGGGACTGCCTAACTGCTCGATGTATAAACCTATTCTACTTTATGTTCATCTTTATCTTGATATCATCCTTATCCTCACTAACTTAATCCTTATCCTTGACTAGATTCCTCCTTATCCTAATTATGTCTCCATCTAAAGTGTATGAGAGATCACTTGAGTACGAAATACGTAGCAACACAAAATAAAGCGGAAGCACAAGTAAACAAAAATTGCTCTTGAGGAAGCCTCCCGCTTTCCCTTAGAACTCTTTCAATTAGAAAATGGTGGGCACACGTAGTGTAGTACATATTTACTCGACCAGACCTCTCTTCTAATCTAACTGTTCCTACATTCAATTTTCCTAACAACTTTTATGGCCAGCTCGTGGACTTGAAGACCTATTTTGGATTTGTCCATAGGTACACAAGCACTTATCCCAAGTGCCATATTATAAAAATATTAGAAGGTGTAATGTACAACTTTCAACCCGTAAGAACACGAACTGAAAGTTTGACTAAAACTAAGAAATAAAAATCAAACTAAGCTCTCAAAACTCTCAAAGAAGTTCAGGATTACTTGAGCTATCTCTCTCAATCAATACAATCCAATGATGACGAATTTTGAATATATAGGAGTATTCTTTTGGTGTACGATTTTCACAATCTTCAAGTGTGGAATATTTCCTTCATTGCTTGGTGTCCCCGGTCTCCTCAATCGCCTTTAATTTGGAGGTTCCAAGGACGCATAGAAACACCACTTTCTATATATGTGATATTTGAAGAATATTATCTTAGCTGCTTCATAATCTCTGTCTTTTCATGTATGCTCAAATCGGGTCTCTGTCCTAGTCCGCGTCACAATACTTCATGCAAAGTGTTACTTCAATAAATAAGGAAATAAATCACAAGTTTATCTTAGTTCAATATAAAAAATAAACATATAAAGGAACTTAATAAATAGACGATCTTCTCTTTATTCAATCTTGCTCCCTCTGCAAGTGATGTACAAGGAATACAATTAAGATATACAAGATAATTTGAATGATGTAAATTCGAATATTTAATCAACACCAACTCAAGTTTCCAAGTGCTCACAGTTTCATCGATCTTAGGTGTTCGTTACCTAACGGATCGCAGTTCCTCAGTTCATCTTATATCAAATTGTATTGTTGAGTCGAGTCTCCAGGCAATGAGTATCTTAGTCGGTCCCCTCTCGTCTAGTAGGTCGTTAAGCCGGGTGCTAATGAGACTCAACAACTCAGGTCGCCCTAATGGCTCATATCAATAGATCGACCACTATGCTTTAGTTGACCCATTCCAGCTTCCCTTGTATACAAATGTTCTTCATAGGTTGACCTTACTCGTACCTCAGCCGGTTGACCTGTTTTACTTAGTCTCTAGCAGACCTATTTGGCCTTGTTCCGGTGACCGGGTTGATCATGAAGTCGGTCACCTATTTTACTTGATGTCGATCCGAGTTAGGGGTGTTCATCGACCGGTTCTACCGAGAGAATCAAAAGAACTATATAATTATATTTCAAAAACCTAATCGACTAAAATATGAACTTAAAGTCGAAGTTCAACTGAATCATATTATTCGGTCGGTTCAGTCGGTTAATCAAACTTTTACAAAAACTTTTTTTAGGATTTTTCACTGGGTCAAAACATATGAGCCTTATTACTGGACTCAAACATAATTGTCTAGACAACAAAAATACAAACAGTTCAAATTAAGTATTTTAATTCCACATCCAATTCCAACAAGTCCAACCTAAAAACAGTAAAAACAACAGCCCCAAAACAAGTCCAGAAAAAGGCTTAAAATCCATACAAATTACATCAATCAATTCAAAAACAAATTACTCAGCACTTGTCAACCCCCAATAAATTATATACAACTTAACTGACAATCAACATAAACATCGCACAAACATACATGATTCTTCAATACAATTTTACAATTAGAAAATAAAACAAAAAAGACATGTACCTTGGTTTGAGATGGAACTGAGATTTGGGAGAGAGACAAAAATTTGGGACGAGACTTTTGCCCTTAACGGTGAACAACCGTGTGCCCGACCAACACCTCCAAGCTGAGCGCCCTACGACCGATGAGTCGACGAATGGTGTCAAGGAGTTCCTTGATCGGAACAATCTACACGCAGACGCAGGCTTCTTAGAGACTTGGATGACAACCGCAAATTAGGGATTTGGAGACAATTTGGGGGATGATTTAGGGCGATTTATGGCGAAGAAGATAATTTGGGAACGATTTGTGGCGGAGCAGCGATTTGGGTGGGGATGAAGATTTGGGGACGATCAGAAGCAGGCTTCATTTTTAGGGGTATGAATAAAATATTATATTAATATATTATTTTGGACATTTGGGCTATGTTTGGTTCAAAGGAGGGGAGGGGAGGAGAGGGGAGGGAATTTAACGGAGGGGAGGGGAGGGGATGGGAAGGGAGAGAAAGTAATTTTACCTTGTTTGGAGGGATTATGTAGGAGAGGAGGTGAAGGAAAATGATTAACCTTGTTTGGTTAGAAAATGAAAGGGGAGGGTAAATAAAATTATATAGACAAATATACCCTTCTTTAAGGTTTTTTTTATATGCGGTAATGTTGTAATTATAATGAGTTCAAAAGGGCAAATTAGTACACTTAGACATAATTTTTTATTTCCCCTCCAAATTCCCCCAAAATTATAGGTTGTGCCATTTTTCCGCCGGAGAGAGAAAATGAGGGACAAAGTTCATCTCCCTTCCCCTTCCCTCGGTGAACCAAACAACAGAAAAATGTAAGATCCCCTCCCCTCCCTTCCCCTCCTCTCGGTTTCCTTCGAACCAAACAATACGTTGATGTCTGAAAACCAGCACCGACCGAAATAACTAAAACTTTATAGACTAAAAACCAAAAACCGACCGAATCAGAAAAAAACCAAAACGAAGATTTCAGTTCGGTCTTTTTTTTAGTCGAAATATGCACATCCCTAAATTCAGGGTGGATGATTAAACTATATCTACATCTTTATTGGCAAGCGATTTGGAGTAGCATGAAGGATATAACTGAAAACATCTATAACATGACAACTCTTGCAAGCAGTTGTGCCTTTGATTTTCTTTGTAATTACATTGTTGATGATTGTACTG